TCCCCAGCACCTACAAAAGGCCAGGCTGGGTAGCTTGCACTTGTGTTCTCCAGGCTGGGAAAGCAGAGAGAGGCAGCTAGATCGTGAGGTTAACTGGCCAGCCAGCCTAGCCGCATTGGTGAGTTCCAGGTCAGTGAGAAGGCAGAGAATGGGAATGAACATTACTGCTTCTGGTGGCTTCATCTCTACCTATTCGGTATCTGGGGCTGTCTTGGAAAGCAGGATTTTAAACCGAGCTCACAATGTAATGGATTTTGTTGTGGCATTTCCATGCATACACTTCTTTATGCAAGGCAGCTATTTCATTGCCTGCTCATACTATTGGCCAAAGAACCCCTTAGGTAGTGCCTAGGGGTTTTTGTTTTCCAATGGCTTGTTTTATAGGATAGGATGATATGAATCATAATGGTTTACTTTAGTATTTTAAATACTTTATTGAGAGATAATTCCCTTACTGTGCAATCACCATTTAAAATATACAGTAATAATACCCCATTATAGGGATACAGTTTCTTTTTCCTTCATCAGTTTATGGACATCTTGATATTATGAGTCATGCTGCTGAGAACATTTGTCATAAGCCCCCCCATACACTTATTTTTGTCAGACATGTTTTTATTTCTCTTGGAGGTATTACCTATGAAAAGAATTGCTGGATCACGTGTCTCCTTTGCCTGTTTTCCATTTGGGTTGTCTTTTAAAAAAAAATTCTTGTGATCTTAAAAAAAACTCTCTCTTACACATTGTGGTAGGAGTTGAGAGGTATGTGTGCCACAGTGCATGTCACCTCTCTCTGCCACCGTGTGGATTTCAGGGACTGAACGCAGCCTGTCAGGCTGGGCAAGCACCTTTACCTGCTGAGCCACTCTCTGGCCCTATGCTGCTTTTCGGTAGCGGAGATTCGTTGCAGTCCTTTATCTGATTAAAGATTACCTGATACTTTCCCTCTGTTCAGCGAGCTGCCTTTTGACTTTTTTTTTTTGATGGCTTTTGAAACAAGTGTTAAAAATTTTTGAAAGAGGTTTAAAATTCTTTTCCAGACAAGATTTTATTGCATGCTCAATGATAACCACTCAGTCCAGGAGCAACATTGACCCTCAGAAGAGGTCCTAGCACTGTCTGTCAGTGTAAGATGAGAAATCTTAAATATTGATAAAGTCCAACTTACATAATGTTTTCCTCCTTCTCACTTTTGGCATCAAAAATAAAACAGAACCAACCAAACAAGAAACAAATCCCAAACCATTGCCTCCCTCAAGAGCATGAGGATTTACACCTGTGTTTTGGGTGTTTTGGCTAACACTAGAATGGAGGTTGCTAGGGCAACCCTCAGGCAGTCTGCCCTTTGTAGTTTGAGAAGTCGCCACGTCATTCATATATATATATATATATATGGATATATATATATAGTATTTGTACCACTTTATGGTCTTGCCAATGGTGTCCGTGTGTTTTAATTTCTCCGTCTTGTCACCAGCAGCTGTTGCTTTTTCTGGTAGCGGCAGAACCATGACTGGCAGCTATGATGTGACACATCCCCGTGTGGGGCTGGAGTCAGGACCTTTTTAACCCTCTTCGAGCTGACGGTTGAATCTAGGGTCTCACCCATGTTAGATGTTAGATAAGCACTCTGCTGCTGAGCTATTTGTGTTTTGAGACAAGACCTTAGGAAGTTGCCCGCACTGGCCTTGAACTTATTTGGATTTACTGTCCTTCTGCCTCAGTTTCTCTAGTAACTGTTATTACAGACTTGAGCCATCAGCCCTGGCTTTTGGCTTTCCTTCACCTTCACCTTCCGTCCTCTGGTGGTGGTTTCGTAGGCACACTAACCCCTTTTTGGCTTTAGTCCACTTTGTCCGTTTTTCTGGTTTTGAGTTTTAGGAGTTCTTTATATATTTTGGATATTACTGTCACATCAGAAATTGACTCTCCAAATATTTTCTTCCTATTCTGTGGGTTATTGTTCATTCTGCTTAATACCTTTTTTTTTTTTTTTTTGCCTTTGCCTTTGCCTTTGCCGTGTAGGAGCTCTTAAGTTTGATGTAGCTCCAGGTGTCTGTTCTTGCTTTCATTGCCTTTAGCGTTTACATTTAAATATCAGATTTACCTGATCCCTAAAAGAGTAAAGACTACCTTAAGAACGTACATTCTATTGTTTGGGTAAAAGAAAACTCTTGGTGGTACTCCAGGGGACAAGAAGTATGTCATTCGGTAGCCAGAAGACGGTAGGTGCTGGTTCCTTGTGAAATAGCCTGGGTTTGCTTTGATGTTTCTTAATTATCGTTGAGGTTTAAAAGTGTTCTGCATGATAACAGACACACTTCATGCCCTCGAGGGTGGAATTAAGTACCCAGAAATAATTGTTTTTGGTTTTGTAAATACCTCAAAAGGAAAGGAGGAAAAAACATTATTGAGAAAATTTGTCTTTTAGACAGCACACCATCAACAAAAAGAAAAAAAAATCACCAACAGAGATAAAACCAAAAATTGTTTTATGACATCCAAACCTAAAATAACTGGGTCGGTTAAGTTTTAAGTAAATACAGTGTTTAAATCTGTCATGACGTATTTGCCGAAAGCTTGCTCTCCAGTCTTCCTGCTGTATTCCTAAGACCTGCCACAGGTAGAGAAACCCGAGAGCAAGTGAAAGGTAACTTAATTTAAGGGCAGCCGTGTTGGATCATTGCTGACTTAAAGGGAATATTTAAAACAAAAGGTCTAATTTTCTTTTCATTCATGCTAATAAAATTTATATTTATTTCTATTTAAATATAATTGCTTTTTCAGTATTCTGCTGGGCCATTCTTATTTAATTGCTTTGTCTGTTTTTGGCTTTGTGCCAGTTATTTTAGACAAAACTTCATTATTGTTTGGCATCAACTCTTAATTAGGTGGCCAAGTGGTCACATTTATATTTGGAGAGAATGTGTTTTTTTTTTCTCCCCTCACAACTGTTTACATATGAAAACAGTAATTAGCCAATTTAAAGTGATACCTCATGACATAATTTGAGGATTAACTTTCTTCCCTGTGGATATTCTGTAGAGGATTTAAAATAATTTTTAAATTGGTAAAACATAAAACTTCATATTTTTAGATACATGATTTGTTGTTATATATTTTTCCCTTTTACTGGGGATTGAACTGAGGCCTATCACATGGAAGACAAGCATCTTCCACTGACCCACATCCAATTTTGTAATTTGTTCATATTGAACATTGTTACTTTTCCGTTCTAGGTATGTCTTGGCATGTCCTTATATTTATGTAATATATACATGGATTAGAAAGTCATGTGTAATTGTTGATTGATATCATATACGGGCATAAAGAATGCCCTCAAACTAAAATGGCACAGTTCTCTGTGCAAGGCTTCCCATAGCAGGTCAGAGAGATTCCCTCTACCAGCCTGCCCAGTTTGCATCCAGAAGCACAGTGTGCTAGTTGAGAATGGTCTCTCATTCAAAATGGTGATTGGAATAAAACACGTTTCTGTGAATTGTTACTGGTTGATGAAACAGTTTTGCCCCAGAGCGTGTTAACTCTGAATACAATTTACAGCAGAGACTTTGTTTCTTATCTCAGAAGTTCTGCCAGGTCTCAAGCCAAATTTAAATGTCATTAGTTTATTTACAATAGTAGCTAGTGCAAGAGTTAAATTCATTTCTCAGAGATTGCTCCTCTTAAACTTTCTTTGTATCTTTAAAGGAATGAATTATGCGTCCTTATTTCTTACCTACTTGGTGCCTAAGGTACAGCAAACCCATACCTAGAGTACACAGTCATTGTAGCCAGTAAGGGCCGCTTGTTTTCTGGGGTGCTCCTAGTGGCTTTGATGGACCCTGGGGCCATGAATCTCCTGCTGCTTTGACCCAGCAGGGTGCCGCTGCTGGGCTCTGTGAGGGCATCAGAAAGGACACAGAACATATGTCTGCAGACTCAGGTCCCCTCATCTTTCTTAGGTCTTGCTAGCTAGTGTGCTAAGACTGAAACAAGATGGGAACTCTCAGATTTTTCATATTAAATGTCCTTTATTAAAAAATTGCCACACGGACTTAGATCTGTTCTTTGTTCTTTGCAGTAGTACTAGTGATCATAAACCAGTCATAACTAGGGGACAGTTGGCATGTCTGTGTAAGTGAGTATAAATGTGTGGCAGGCAGGAGTGTCCATGAGAAACTGGGAGCAGGGTTGTGCCTGTAGTCTCAGTCACCTGAAGATAGAGGTGGGAGAATGACTTGAGCCTGGGAGAGAGAAAGAGAGAGAGAGAGAGAGAGAGAGAGAGAGAGAGAGAGAGAGAGAGAGAGGCTCAGATAGACAAATGGATTTAGATATATTTATGCATGACATAGATCAATAATGAGAGGGTCACCAAATGTTTAAAGAGTATTATAAAATTGTATTTCTGAGCTATGGCAGTAATATAAATCTTTTTTTTAATGCTTGGTACCAAACCCAGAGCGGTGGCCAACAATAGAACAAGAGTTCCCTTACTCAGATGTGTGCTTAGTCCAGCATTATAAATCTTAAGAGCCAGCCTGTGTTTGTCTGCTTAATATTTGTAGAATAACTCACTGAAGGTTTTACATAAGGCTTTAGGCTACTGTTTCTCAACCTGTGGGCCATGACCCCTTAGAGGGTAGGATAGCCTTTTTCACAGGGGTTGCATATCAGATACCCTGTATGTCAGATATTACTGTGGTTCATAGTACAATTACAGTTACAAAGTAGCAACACAAACAATTTTATGGTGGGGGTCACCACAGCATGAGGACTGTATTAAAGGGTTGCAACATTAAAAGGTTAAGAACCACTCACTGCCTTAGGCAGTTGTAGGCTGACTGATTAAAATAAGAAAAGCCCTTAAACTGTTTTTTTTTTTTTTTTTTTTTTTTTAATGTTTAAGTTCTATATCCTGCCCAGGTGTGTGAATTCTAGTTGCTTTGTCTTGCAAAGTTTAGCTCAAAATTTGAAGGCTGTCTTGTTTTGATCTGACACAGGGATTCATTCTGAAGACAAAGTTGTTGTGTAACTGAGGATGGCTTCGCTCTCCTGATCCTTCTGTTTTTGCCTCCTGAGTGTTGGTATTACACGGTATGTACTGCCGCTCCTGCTAAATTTCAGTTATCTCAGAAGGTAAAATTGAACCAGTTTTTATGATATATATGACATTTTGGTACTGTAGGTTTTATGCATAACAGTCGAAGCTATAACCCTAACATTAAGCAACACGAAATACATTGCAGGATAAATACCTTTAAAGAATAGCCATAGTGTGAAGTTGTCCTTTGGTTTTCTATGCTACACATGGAATATGATTTCATCAACATTCTTTTCAGAACAATCTTTCCTTTAGTGACTCTTCTTTTCTTCCACTGACTGAGGGGTAGGAGTAACACACACACACACACACACGTGTATACACACACATACATACACACAGATGTGCATGTGAGGTATGGGAATAAGAGGCACACATTCTTGTAGATGTGAGGGTTGGGAATAACTAACACACACACACACACACACGCACCGTGCATGTGTGCCATAGGAACATGTATGACCGTTTATCCTATGATTTAAATAGGTGTCAAATTATAATCCAAATGTTGCTTTTTACTTTGTAGTTTAGAATTTGATCAGAGAACATTAGGGATGGGCATGGAAGTCTTGAGTTCTTTTTCGCCTATAGGGAGAACTTCGACTGTATTGATTACAAGGCACACTGCGGCTCCTCTCCTAGGTAAAGAATTCCAACAGCCCTTACCCCTCTTGCATTTTTTTCTGCTTCCTATTCTTGCACTAATTAACAGATCCTTTATCTTTAGATATATTAATATTCTCAAGCACGTATTTTTTTGAGGGGGCGTGTCTTGGTTTTCAAGACAGAGTTTCTCTGTGTAACAACAGCTCTGGCTTGCCTGTTGGGAACTTGGAACTCAGAGATCCACATGCCTCTGCCTCCTGAGTTCTGGGACTAAAGGGCACTGCATCTGTTAAGGATTTTAGGGGTTTGATGCAGATAGCAATCCTCATTTTACTCGTTTAAGTTTATTGGAGAATAAACAGACCATGCTGCGTCTTTGTATGCAGCATGGTGTTAGTGCATGGTAGGTGAACATGGAGACAGTCATGGGCAAAGACTGCAGTCTGGGGGAAGAAGGAGATACATCATTTTCTAAAATAACCTTGGGCATAGTTACTAAATACTGAAGAAAGCCAGTCTGTCCCAAAACCTTGTAGGGAAATGTCGTGATCTCACACTGACCTTCTGTTTCGGTAGAGTACACTGCTTTCGGTGTGGGTGTGAGGTGTGTTCCACTTTGGTTTTCTGCTTCTTTTTTTTTTTTCCCTTAAAAGGTTTGGGTGGGTATTAGATACTAAAGATTCTTAGTAGTGTTACATGCTGTGCGATGCATGACTTCCAGTGTATTGTTTCATGACTACAAGAGGTCAGGAAGTGAAAGCCACGTTCCGTCACTTGATATCAGCACTTCTTCATTAGCCTTACTTAGTTTTAACCTTCAGCCCCTCGTTCCTTTATGAACACTCCGTGGAGACAGACGTGTTATGAGAAGAGAAGGGGAAAAGATAAGACCAAACATCTGCTCGATAGACAGAAGCTGGAGGAGCCGTCAGTTCTCATGGTTTTCCTAGGAACATCTCACTTTTCTTCTTAGTTTTAGGTCCTGTGGAGGTCTCAGGGCACTCATAGTAAAAGTGAGGCTTTTTTTTATTTGCTTCAAAAGTTTCTTACACTTAAAATTTTCTATTTGAGCCAGTGAGTTCGAGGATAGCCTGGTCTATGGAGCGAGTTCTTAGGACATCCAGGGACAGAGAAACCCTGTCTCAAAAAACAAAAAAACTAAACATAATAATAATAATAATAATAATAATAATTAGTAGTAGTAGTAGTAGTAATTGTTTTATTATTTAAATTTTTAAAGAGGTCCGAGTAGAAGATTACGTCATGGTGGATAGAGGAGACAGTGAAGAAATTGTGTAGTAATGCGGAACTGATAATGATGTAACTAGAAAGACAGATTGAAGAGCTACAATGTAGCCTGCTGGTACCCAGTCTTTAGAATGCAGTAGGCCTTGGAATCTGCCAGTCATTCAAATACAAAACAAAACAAGAACCAGAGAAAACAAGAACAATTGAAATAATACAGCTTCATGTTTTCTGATTATCTGCCCCTTTTTCTCAGGACCCCTCCTCCCGGCTTCCCCTCCTGTGTCTTCTGACTTTGTTCTGGGCAAGTCCCATCAGGTAGCCTGTTCTCTTGTCACCCTTCATGTCCTTCATTACCGCTTCTGCCGCTGCAGTCCTGCCCCAACACACATCATCTGCAATGCAGGAGTCTTGTGTTTGTTGAGTGCTGCGTTTAAGAATTCCATTATGAATGATGGATCACCATATCCCTAGTGGGATTGCTAAGTCCCTTCAGTTAGAGTGTTCAGGTGCGGCCCCTTGATACTGTGCTAACAGACAGACGATATCGGAGCTGTTTTAGTGACTATAGATAATTAGCTGGTTGGTCTGTTTGGGGGTGATCTGGGCTTTGGATTAATCTTTTAATTATTTTCCCCCTAATTCTGAATAGCTTACATTTTTAAATGAAAATTTTTTGGCTACTTTGTGTTTCCATGATTTAAATTTCTAAAAACAACTTTATTGGGATATAATACACTAGTGCTGTGACTTTTACTACCACTTTGCAATGGCAGTTACAATTTTGAAGGTACTTACAGGAAAATAAACGGATGATTTATGTAATATTTGTAAGGAAGTGTAGTTGTGCACTGATTTTAAATATCCCGTTAGGTGAGATAGACTTGTCCAGTGGAGGCTTGGGTAGTTCAGAATTTTAGTTCTGACATTCAGGAGGTAGATGAAGGAAGATAGGAGTTCAAGGTCACCCTAGGCTACATTGTAAGTTCAAGGTTACATGAGATCCTGTCCCCAAAAGAAAAAAAAAATCATTAACTTTGAAGAACATTAATGAGGTGTTTGATATGATCCATAAACCCAAATGAAATGTTGAAATAATTAATGTACTAATGAATATGCTAGGAAAAGATTGAAAACCACAAATAAGCAGATACGTGTACTGTTCTTGATAAATGAGTTATCCTAGAAGATCATGTAGTGATGACGCCATAGCTGTAAATGCTTGCCTTTGAGCTCTTGTTTCTCATTAAATTCAGTAGCTTCCCTCTAAGCAACCATTGTCCTAATCAGTAATTGCCACTCCACAGCTATCAGTAGGGATTCAACCTCTCTATCACAGCACTAAAGGGACCTTTTCCTAGATCTCTATCTTTCTTTTTCCCCTTCTATATATTCTCTCTGCCTGCCAACCCTGCCTGTCCATTTTTCTGCCTTGCTATTGGCCATTTAGCCATTAGACCAATCAAATGTTTTAGACAGGCAAAGAATCACAGCTTCACAGAGTTAAACAAATGAAATATAAAAGAATGCAACACATCTTTGTATCATTAAAACAAAGTTCCATAGTGTAAACAAATGTAACAGATCTTAAAATAATCTACAACATCAAGCTCTTCATTTGAAATTGGTTTTAGGCACCCCATGTCCAATTCTCTTAAGTCTTTTTATGCTATCAATATTTATATAACCTAAGTTTTGGCTCTGAATTATTCAATAACATGATTAATTTGGTTGATGATAACGTAATATAATTCCATTTTTATAAGAAAAGACAAAATTACTTTTGCAAATTCAGTTAATAAGTTGACTTAGAAAATAGTTAGAAATAGTGAATCAGACATTTGAGCAATGGTAATGTTGGAAGAACTGTAGTATCTTCAGGTGATAGGTAATATTCATATAGGTGTTTTCCCCCTACAACTTTTAGAACTTTAAATCCGTAAAAAAGAAAACCACTTAGCTTTGTATGAACTGGTGTGAGATTTTGTGCAGATATAGATTGTACACACATATTGCATGTAGCATCTTCCCTGGCCACATTGTCATTTTATAGACTTGTATAACCAACTCTGTGTGACAGTTGATAGTTCTATTTTAGGGTGGATTTTATGAATTCAGAGTAAAAATATTAGTGTTCTTGGCCCATGAAAGCTTCCTCAGCGATCATATGGGGACAGACTCTGGCTGAGTAGAGACTTACTTCCACCTTAGTTCTCCTGTTCCATCTTCTCAAGTGTTGGAATATGGGCGTGTGCTACCACACCTGCCTAAGAAAAGTTCTATGAAGAATGAGAGATTGTAAAGGTGCCCTGTGACATTAAACAGTTTTATATAGAGCTTTTAAGTTTAACGTAAAATCTGATGCATAAACCTACATTGTATATTGTCTTAGTTGAGCAAATCTGTGTGTTGTGCATAAACAAATACTGGTGACATTAGCATGGTACGAGCTAGGGAAGTACAAATTTGTTCAAATAATTTTGAAGCTGAGTTTTTTATACTGCTACATGACTCAAGTCAAAATACAAGGCAGATATTGAAGAGGAAGACAGTTTTATTGCTTGTGCTTTTATACATATGGCATGTATGTGTATGCTTGTGCACTTGCCCATGTGTGTAGATACCCATGCCTGTTCATGTGCGTGTGGGGTCAGAGGTTGGCATCGGGTCTTCCTCGGTTGCTTTTCTTTTGGAGGTAGAGTCTCTTACCTCAATTGGTTGGATAAGTGAGTCAACAGATACCAGGGTTCCTGCTCCATCTCTTAGCGTTGGTTCAGGGGATGTGCATTGCCATACCTGACATTTTATGTGAGGACTGAGGACCTGATTTTGGGTCTTCAAATTTGATTAAAAGCACTTGACCCAGTGAGCCATTCTTTGGTCCCTTGTTTTCCTTCCTTCCTTCCTTCCTTCCTTCCTTCCTTCCTTCCTTCCTTCCTTCCTTCCTTCCTTCCTTCCTTTTTTCCTTCTTTCCTCCCTCCCTCTCTCCCCCTCTCATTCTTTCTTTCTTTTTTGGGGGAGTGCTCCTTCTTTTAGTGTGTGTAGATGTGTAGTGGTTTGGTGGAACATATCCATTTCTTTTTATAATTTCCTGTATATCAATTTAAAGCATTATCTATGGATGTGGTGGTTTGTTTTCATA